TTAAACAGAGGAGGTACGTTCACATAAGGGAAAAGAAAATATCTCAGATTTTCTAAAAGTTGGGCTTAACAATGAGAACCCTTGATCACACTGGTACTTTGAGGTTTTACTCCTTTACCTAAACTTTCTCACTCTTCCTCTCATCCCCAATAAGGATCCTTTGAAAGTTGCCTGTCAGGTTAATGTGGTGGGTTGCAAGGTGATTCCTTCCTCTTCTGGTCTTTTTAGTTGGTAGTTGGGGGACCGGGTGAGCTAAAGGAGCAGGGTCAGCCCCAGGCTCCAGAATTCAAGCTCCCCAATTTGACTTCTGGGTTTTGCCTTCCCTGACCTGGTGCTCCTGCCCTTTCTAGCCATTCATTGTTTCCATTCTGAAACACCTTTTCTGGCTTGTATCGGATTGGACATTGACTTTTGTTTTGATTCCTATTTTTTGGTATTCTCAAACATGTAAAACGAGAGAGAAAAGGGTGTTTAAGTATTTTTTTTCCTCTTCTTTTACTGGCAGTATTGGACTAGGACAGCCTGTCAGTCATTTTTCTTTTTTCTTCTCTATCCTGACATAGCCTGGTCAAGTCTGGGATCTTAAGAGTTCTTGTCTCCCCTCAACCTTCTGTTCCGTGAGCTGATTGCATAGTCCCCAGGCGCCATCTTGCAGCAGAGCTTTAGGATGTGTTTGAGCAATATCTTTGCCAGAAAGAACTGAAAAGGTGGGAACACCCTTTGTACCAGTTCACCTTCCTGATGTGATCCTTAAAAGCACACTAGCAGTTGTGTACTTGGAAGCAGAAGGAAGACTAACTGGGAGATTCTTTTGCCTGAGGAAGATGTAAATGTGGAAGAAAGGCAGGGATGCTGTGAGCACTGTGGTGTGGCAAGCGAAGCAGGCGCGGTGGCCTCTGCCATTGACTGAGAAGAGCCCAGCTACCCTCTGACTCTCAGCACACGTCATTCTTCCTTCCATCCACTCTAGGTGATGGTGGGTACACATAGCAGCAATGAAGGGAAAATGTCTCCATTCCCTCAACCAGGCAGACACCTGTAGTGCAATATGTTCCCCTGTAAATGAGATTATTTTTCCAGCATTGGGTCTATTCAGGGAAGCAATTACAGTGTATCCACTGAGGTTGCTGGGACTTGGTGCTGCTCAGAAGCCTCAGTAATCTTGTGTGGCTCTGGGAGTCGGTGCAGATTGCCTAGCCCCCTCTCCATGCACGCTTGGAAGGCTGTGTTATCCTCTGCAGTGGTGGGGCGTGGGGCTCATACCTTTGAGCTGAGTCTTGCCTCGTGACTTGTCCTTCACAATGGAGTTCTGGGTTAGTTTAAAATGTTCTGTTCTCATCTTACCTTCTCTTTCTTCTGCTACCACCTCCTCCCTTTCTCCTTCCTTCCCCCTCGATTTTCCTCTGTCAGACTGCCTCCTCCTTGTGCTCCCCACAGCCCACCTGTGCTCTCACCTCCCCTTGGCTTCAGCGCGACCTGAATTTACATCGCCTCTTCACCTTCCGTGCCCCGACTGACTTAAACTGTTCTTTCCTAGGGGTGTTGTGGTGCTCCCTGGTTACTAACAGTGGGCTGATTTCTCTAATGCCCCGCTAAAAGTCCCTCCCCTGGGTGTTTGCCTTTCTTTTTAGACTTGATACAGACTGTAATCTTGTTTTTAATAGCAGCTATGGATTGGTCACCTCAGTAGTAGTAGTCTAGGTGTTCTGGTGAAGGGTGTTGCTGGTTGGTCAATGCTCATTTACGTCTGTTCAGTCGGGCATCCATCCTTGCCCTCTTCCCCACGCTGTAAACTGAGTGCTGCTTGTGGGTGCTCTTCTTCGCTTATTATCAGGAGAGGTGAGAAATTAGGGAATATACTAGTGTATTTTAATTTCGTCAGGGCTCCGATCCTTTCCCTTTAGTTTTAATACCTAGTAGGAGGAAAATAGAGGCGGTGACGGCCATTATTTTCTTCTCCGGGCGGGGGGGTAAGTTAGACATGGCTTGAAATCCTGCTTAACACACTTAGGTTACCATGAAAAGAAACTGTTCTATTGAATCTCCTCACCTTCACAGCATATCCCTGCTTTTGCCTTTGCCACCCTACTTTGAGCTCTTCAGTTTGCTTCCATTTGCTAAGGCTTAGATCATTTTGTCATTCTCTAGCTTGTCCCCATCCAGGTGTACAGAATCCCCAGAAATGAAGGGAGCCATTATTCGAACCATCATTTTGATTCTCTTT